ATTTTTTATATGCTCATTTATTTTTTAAATATTTTATATATTTGTACGCTTCATTTATATGCTCATTGTTCTGTTCAGTTGTCATATATTTTAAATAAAATACCTAAGGCTCTCCATGCTCAATTTCGTTGCCACTTAGTAAAGCAATAAAAGCTGAAATGCCAAGCACTTTATGTAGCTGCTGGCTCATAAAACTTGAAAGTGAGTTCGCTGAGCAACTCGAATCAAATCAGTGGAAAAGGCTGAGCAACTTGGAGAGTCGACGAAGTTAAAGTTGCCCTCTCACTCTCGCTCTCTCTCTCTCTCTCTCTCTCGCGCTCTCTCTGAGTATGCTGCATGCCTCATTTAAGTTGCGTCTCTGTTATATGCTGCTTTATTGTGACATATGAGAGGGTCGACATGGCATATGGGAGTACATACATAATTTATGCCCTGTAGGGAACTATAGCCAATTGGCCAAAGGCAAATACCATTGTCAAGGACAGAGATCGTTGCCAGAGCCAAAAACAACAACAAATAAGGGAACAAGCAATTATCAACGCATGGCGAGTACAGTCGAACTGTCTGTAGAAGAGGCGGACTTATCGCTTGGCATTGGAAATATAAAATCTATATGCTCTATGCTCTATATACGACATATTTCTTATAATATAATACAAATGTAAATCATACACTGTCTATATATGACTATTTATACATATTTATACATGACTTTCAGTTTGATTTTTCTATGATTCACAACTACATATTTAAGCCAATTTTAGCTAAGTATATGAGTCTTTCAATATCCTTGTCTTTTATTTGAATATAAAAAATTTATATATATGCATGATTCCATCTGCTCATGCACCGCCTGTCACCTTCACACTCATATATCTATCAAACCATCTGAAATTTGTTACCCTTCATGTTCGGCTGCGGTTTGTGGCACTTTTCATATTCTTTTTCTCCTTTTTTTGGAGCTCATGTTGCGGTCAGGTTAAACACGAGTGCCAAGCGTAAATAAATTAAATTGCAAAATAAAAAAAGTAAATGCATGGAATTCAAAGCTGGCGAAAAATATTAATAAGTTTATTGACAACAACAACAACAGCACTGAACAAATATATGCAAAACGCGTCGCAGTCGACGTCACGGACGCACATGCGCCAAATATTTGGACGTTTCGTTCTACTTTGGCGCAGGCGCAGCTCGGTCCAAGCCGCGCTGTTCATTAATATGCGCCGAATGGCCAGCTCCTGAAAGAGAGCTGGGCACCCCGCAGAACCCGGCACCTTGGGCAGGCCTACAGTCTCAGTCTCAGCCTTAGCCTTAGCCGTAGTCTTAGCCAGGCAAACAAATCTCGCAGTAGCTCGTGCAGCAATTCGCTGGAAATCTGTGCAAAGGGACGCTCGTCTTTGGCCATAGGACGTCGAGCCATGGCCAAAGTCTTGAAGGAGATGCCGCTGGCGATTGTCGGAGCGCCCATACATCAAAGTGTCGTGTTTTTTTTCAAAACTTATAAATATGTACGAGTCGCTCGGCTGTGCTGGCCACGTTTAGGGCCCGCCGCACAACTGCAGCTGCAGGTTGTTTTACTCTCAGCTTTCTCGTAGAAATCAAATAACACGCCGTCGCACGCCGGGCATGCTAAGCAGCCGGAGCACTCTCCGAGCACGCTGCAACCTTTGGCAATGCAACGTCTAACGTGTTGCGCATTTCAATTCACCCGCCGCCCGTTGACATGGGCCATGCGGCTGAGCCGTGTGAAAGTTGAGTCGAAAGGCCAAGCCGCTAACGCTCCACTAAGACAGATTTCGATGACGTTGAAGTTCAATAACTGTACTATATAAATATATGATTTACGCTTGAACTATTTGCAAACTAAAGGAATTCTATTGATGTGCTTGGTAAACTAAATCAATGGTCTGTATAAATTCTCTGTTTGGTCTCTGTATTATTTCAGCAAATGTTTTTAAATCTACATTGAAAACTCTTATATATAATAATATATATAATGTATATAATAAGTGGTTTCGGTTACACATACATCATCGACTCACTCTTAAAATTACATACTGAGCTCCAGCTCAGGTTCAACTCACCTTGGTCCAGTCGGCGCTCCATGCGGCGCCATTGGCGCATGTGATGGATGAGTATGCAGGCGGCGACCGAGAAGAAGAGCAGGCAGGCGAGCACCGCTATGAAGAGGGCGCCCGTCTGCCAGTCGAGGGGCAGTGCAGCGGCTGCCTCCTCGTGCAGCTGCTGCAGCTGCTCGTGGGTCAAGTGCTGCAGCGGCGTTGGCTGATCGAAATGCTCATATTCCGATGACTTTCGGCGCTGTGAAGGGCAAGAGCGTTGAGTGTGAGTTGCTTAGGGGCATGTCGAACATGAGCTTACCTCCTTCCAGTTGGGCTCCGTCTTGGCCAGCACCACCCAGTCGATCTTCAGCTCGTAGATGGAGCGGCAAACGGTGTCGATGTGCAGCTGGCAGGGACGCAGCGGTATCATCTCGCCCTGGCAGCTGGTGCAAGGCATGCACTTGTCCTGCACCTGATCCCACCAATGCTGCGGCGCGCAGGGCGAACTGGGCGGCACAAAGCCGCCAATGCTGCCGCTGCTGCTCGTGGCAGAGGCGGGTGCGGCAGCTGCGGTGGCAGCACTAGAGGCTGTGGATGTGGAGGCGGAGGCGGAGGCTGTGGATGCGGCGGTAACAGCGCACAAGGAACATGTTGTAGTTAGCAGTAGAAGCGTCAGATAGGCGCCAGTTCTGCTTAGATATGGGATGCTACATCTTCTACGGATTGCTGTTGTTGCTGTTGTTGCTGTGCTGCTGTTGCTGCAGCTGTTGCTGCTGCTGTTGCTGTTGTTGCTGTTGTTGCTGCACTGTTCACTCCGCTGTCGCTTTCGTCGGCGTTTGTGAAATTTGGAGTTTGTTTTTGTTGCTGGGCGCATTATAGTTAGTGTTAAGCTGTTGTTGTTATTGTTGTTACATTTACTGCTACTCGTCGTCGTTAATTTCGTTGCTGTTGCTGTTGCTGTTGCTGCTGTTCCGATTGCCGCCGCTGCTCTTGCTGCTGCTGCTGCTGCTGCTCTGCTAGCTGCGCTGTCACGTTGCATTAACGGGTGCATCTCTACAAAATATAAGAAGGCAAAATCGATTGACATTTATATAAGTTTTTCTGTTGTTTAATATTAATTTATAATAGCTGGTAGAGGAGGGAGTTAGATAGACAGCAAAGTCAAATCTCTTTATAAATTGGATTAAGATTCGATTGAATTTTGCTGTCAGATGTGTTAAAGTTGTAACTGGTCTCCCTGAGGATGAAAATTCCATAAGTAAATGAAAGTAAACAAAGGAATGAGTATAACCAAGAAAGCTGGAGTTGGAGATGTTCGGAATGACAAACAAACAGACAGGACTGTCTTGCTTGGATGAGCAGGCGGACAGAGAAGCAGAAGAACGAATGGATGGATCAAAATCAGATTGATTTACCTCGTCATCCTTATCAAGATATATATATATATATATACTTTATTRTGAGATCTTCTCAAATACAATACTAAATATAGATCTATACAGAATGTRGGTGGAACGAAAGAACTTTGTGGCAATTCAGACAAATTCCATAATTCAGAAAAAAATCCATATACCATTTGTTCATTTCTATACCACAAGCCAAGCCAGGCCCAAGCTCCAATACTATTTCGCTGCTCTTTCTGCTCTGCAGCTCACAAATCTGAGTGCATTCATAGCATCTAATATTACATAGTAAAGCACATGACTAAATAAAGAATATATTTTAAGCGTTATCTCTGCTTGGTTCTGCCTTGCTCTAACCATTCGAACTGTCGAACTAATTTGGATTATAAATTTATGTCGATTAGCGATAAAGCGTGTTTTATTTTAAGAATTTAGCCTTGATTGGAGCTAGATCATACGAAACGACATCTGTTGCTGGCAACATTTATAGATTCTTTTCAGTTTTCCCAGGCTTTTCTCACACTCATGCGGGGGGAATCTCAGCGAAATGCTGTTTTGTTTTTCCTCTCACATTGACATCGGGTGGCAAACTAATGGAAAATGGCAACACAGCGGGACGCTGTGCACCATTTGGACAAATAGGCATGTGGACAGGGAAGGCCTGTTTCTACTCTACCACCTCCTCCTCCACTTTGCACTTCTCCTCCTGCCACTTCTCTTCAAGCTGCCCGCTTGGATTATCGCCCATAAAAGCGCGCGCAATGGCAAACTAATAAGCCGACCGGCAGCCAATGATGTTGATAATGACGATAATGCGACGCCATCATCATCATCATTATCATTATTATCATCGTCGTCGCCGTCATCATAATCATAAATGCGTACAGTTTGCAATCAACTTTAATGTCAACGGGGTGCTTAAGCGTTTCGCCAAGCCCCCAACCAGCCGCCCCGGCCCACCCGCCGCTGCATCGGCTCCGCTTTGGTTCATTGCTCAGCCACCGTCCGGCGTTCGGCGTTCGGCGTTCGGCGTTCAGCGCTCGGCGACCGGCGTCCGGCTCTTGGCTGCAGTCTCCCGATTCCTTTGCATCAGCGACAACGACAACGACAACGACGACAACGAAACTATTATAAATGGCATACAATTATTATTTATGCAGCGGCTGTCACTCAATGGAGTAAGTGCATCAGCGCAGGGATTGCATAAGCGGGGGGAGACGGAGGGGGTGTTATATGGGGTTGGGGTTGGCATTGCAGCGATGACAACTGTGGTTCCACATCCACTCAGCCACTGTGCTTCACTTCCGTTGCAGCAATTGGTTACACTCTAAGGCCAAGGGAAACCAGGAACTAGGCAAAAAAGGTCCAGAATCGAACAGCTAATCAGGCAAGTGATCGAAATTTGGTGAATTGCCTTCAATTTAGTATCAGCTTGACAAGGTAAGCAACTCATTAGAAGTTGCCCAAACTAATAAGATCTTCATAAAATCTCAATTAATTACGAATATTTATATAAAAGCTGAGTTGGTCTCAAAGCTGAGCTGAGCTCGTTGTTGCTGGGGTACAATAGAAACTGTGTGTGTGTGTGTGAGTCTGGATAGGAAAAGAGCCAAGCTTTATGAAACACACGTCACATAGAGCACAAACAACAACAACAACAACAACAACAACAGCAGCAGCAGAAGCTGAACGAAAAACCAACAACAACAGTCCGCGAATATAATGGAAACAGCAACAGGAAGAAGATATATTTAATTAAAATCAACCATTGCTCGTATGGCCACCGGGAACGTAAACCGACGAATTGAGCTGGATGATGATGATGATGATGATGATGGCCATCGAGGCAAAGAAGGGCACAGACAGGGGCAGGGGAGGAGTGGCCGACGAGCAGAGCAAAGCATTAAAGTGCGGCTGTGGCACATAAAGGGGTTTACTGTACTCTGCCTGCATAACACATGGATATAGAGTATTGGCATAGCGCAGATCTACGAATTGTCAGCAAGATCAGCACTCGATCCAATCAATCCAATGCGATGAGCAAAAGGGAAATCGATCAATTGAAAATTGAAAACTGAAAACTGAAAAATGATAGCTGACAAGGGACAAGCTATGCCCATAGAAGGGCCGCTGGGAGTGGGGAGTGGGGGCAGCGTCTCTCTAATTAGCTGCCTTAGCGAGCCCATCTGATCCGGTCAACAATTTTAATTTCTAATGAAATTCAAATCGGAAATGGCCCATAAGGCATTGGCATTTCCTCTATGACTATGTGTCTGCGTGCTTGTGTGTGTGTGTGGGAGTGTGAGGGGGCACCTGTTTTCCACTCGCGCCTATTAAAAATGCATTTCGATTCCAATTGAATAATTATTAGTTGTATTTGATTTCTGTTTATTGCGTCTAGTAGTTCCGCTGCCATGCCCATATCAACTCATGTACCCCCCCCCCCCCCTCTCTCTCTCTCTCTTGCTCTACACCCCGCCATCGTTCGCTGTCTATTTGTATAGCCGTAACAAATGGTAAGAAGTGTGTCTGTTAGCTACTGTGCTTTGATC